TACAGTATATACAGTATCTCCCACTCAAGTGATGTGCATGCCTGGTTATAAACAAAGTTAAAACACTTAACTGAGGTGTGACTATGGTCAGCTTAATACATAACAAGCCTGGAGTCAGATGTATCTCTGTATAACCTGTGGTATTCTGTTGTGGAAAGTTTGTAACTTCTATCACATTAACCTTGTGAGAAGGTGAAACAGCGATATGCATTTGAGCTTTCTAATCTTTTTCTAGAAAGACTAGAAAGTCTCCCAAATAACCACCTGCTGCATTTAATAACAGCTTAATGGACGTTTTGTTATAGGAAAATGTTGCCGTTTTTTTTTGTTGTATAGTCGGAGGTTTATGATTCATTATTCATTAATTATTTTGTCTTTTTGAGATACTAAATGTCCACATGTATGTTTCTGTAGGCTAACTGAACCATTTATTCAGAATTCTTGTTGTCGTGCCTTTTTTTCCTACGCATGGAAACTTGATACATAGGAAACTTTCGTCTTACACAGCTGATTACTTGAAAACGTCACATAAAAATAGAGGGAGTCTTGTTGACATGTTGTTGGTTTGCTAGGAAAACAATAATTGGAAATAAATCAGAACAAAACATGTCCAGTTTTCGTCAACAAAAAACAGCAAGCAGACATTGCATGTTTATTTTTTTCCAGTGCTTCCTGGAATTGGCTCACGCTCACCATTATGATGCATTGAACGATATAAATACTATACTCATTTAGGAATTTAAAGATTTATTGCAGAATTGTCCAACAGTAGGACTGATTTCACGTGTGGATTCTGCACATTCTCCATTCGTCCTTGGTGCCCTGCGATAGCCTGGCATCCAGTCCTTGGGGACTCTGTTTCTGGGGATGCAATCCTAGCTCCTGCTGACCTTGTATTAGATAAACAGTTATGGAAGATGGAGGCACAGCGCTATGCTGATGAAATGGTAGAAATAGCAAGTAATGCAATATCAGCTAATGGGTTCAGAGCTTCACAGGTTTTGTGATCTCTGGGATCTTTACCATTCTGTAAGTAATAATGATGTACAGAGTTATAATCCACACGGCCACACCGCACAGCATAGAATATGAAGAAATGTACCCACACACAGACCTAGTTTATTTTAATGTAAATAGTCAGTTGAGATGATAGTTTGATTGTTTGTTAAACAAACATTTATCAAATAAATAAATACATTTATAAAATCACACTTTTGGCTTATATGAATATCAATAGGTTTTGGTTCTTTAGTGCTTAATTTTTTTGTGATTGTGATTTTCTGTTTCTTTTCTTATCTGATCTTCTGACCTCAGGTTCTTTCAGAGTCGAAATATGAGGTAGGTTCCTTTAACTTAAGCAGTTTACTGGACAGAATGAAGATGTTACAGGAAGATGTCACACACGGCCGGTTCTGCGTCTGTCTGCCCCCCCTGAGGGCAGCAGGCCCTTTATCTGTGGTCTTCACACAGACTCCTGGAGCCGGAGGTTCAGACGGCCTTGGTGAGAGTAAGTCGTATGAGATATGCAAGGAACATGATGAGTGAGTAGCAAGGACAGAAAGAAATATAAAATAAGAAATATTAAAGCTATAAATGAATGAAGTAAATGAACATAATTAAATAACTACAAATTAACTACGGAATCACTACGTTTGTATGAAATGGGGAATGCATAAAAAATATTTAATAAATATTTGCTAACTACATTTTATTTTTTTACAGGAACAAATGTTTCCAGTATTTCAGAATACTAACTGGGTATTTAATTCTAATTTAAATTATTTTGTAGGCCCAGTGACCTTGACCAGAATGAGCAGAAGAAGGATGGAGAGATGGACACACTTGTCCTCCTATGTTTAGATGTCATGCAAAGCACTTCCCATGTCTATACATAGACGTGTAGGATGTTTTGTGTTTAAATGTCGCCATCAAATTTCTGAACCAATTAATGTTAGGAAACGGGAAAAATTTCAATTTTCTTGAATTACAAGGGCCTTGCAAAAATCGGGTTTGTCATTGAAGCTGGCAGGAGGCTGAATAAGTAACTTATTTGTGAACATAATTCAAGAAACGTTAATCCTAAATCGGCATTTAAAAGCAAGTCAGTCCTCCTGCTTTCTGACATCCTAAACCCAAGAAGTGTTCCAGTGTTGTCTAACCATCCATCCATGAAAACTTACATGGCCACATGTAAATTAATGATTGATCTCTTGGCCTCTCTGTTAGCTTATTTTTCATGTCTGAAGGGCATTAGCTCGCGTACCATGTTAAGATTGTTACGATTATAACATCATAATGCTTCAATTGCGATATGCTTTTATAAAAGATGTTTTAAAAACCATAGTTGTGGGCTATAACTTTATTTAACCTTCTAATAATTTACTATTACAGCTCTGTGAATGAAATTCACAGTTGATTATACAAAAATAGTATTCCATAGTGTCATTGCCATAATGTTTCTTTGTTTTAATGCTTGCTGTTAACAGTCAGTATAGTAATTCCACAGTGGGTGGCATCACACAGAAAGGCTCAGAGTAGGAGTCCCTGTTCATCTCAGGTTTGGGTTTTTTTCTGCCAGTATAAAAACAGGCAGTTAATTCAACTAGTATCTCTAAATTACTCATAGTGAACAATGCAAAGAATCAGTAACCTGGGCCGGATGATGGATGCATATAGAATAGTGATACTTTATTAATCCCCTTGGGAAATTCTCTGTCTTGCCTACCTTATCTTGCTCTCCATCAGGCACACATACAGGTGAGAGGAAGCTGGGGGGGGGGTCACGCACGTGGGCAGCCACCTCGCATCGCCTTGGGGGCTCGGCCTTGCCAATTGGCCCACAGATATGTAATATACTGCTGAGGTGGAACTGAAACCTGTGATCTTCTGATGAAAGGCACAGAGGTGTAGCTTGTTGAGGCATTAATAAGAGCCATTTTAGTACAAGTATTGTATTTTGGGAGAAAAAATAATTGTGAGGGGGAAGTTGAGCTGGGGGCAGATCTACTGTGAAACTGCAGCCTTCAGGAATATTAAAAACGATATGAACACGTTATATGTCTGACGTACAGTATATAGGAATAGATCTTCATCTATATAATGTTTTTCTTTTTTTATCACATTCAGGTTAAATGTTGTCTTCCCTTTGCTGCCACTAAGTAGCTTCCCAAAAATGGGCAAATCAATATGAGATACAGACTACAGCAGGGTTCTTCAACTCTGGACCTCGATTCCAAATCCAGGCCGTGTTTTCAGTTCTCCCAG